TCTTGAATGAGCTGTCAAAGCAGACACAAATCTTGCAGTGGGGCACCGCAGCCTGACACACTGGCTGCATTACAGACCACACTTCATGTCACCACTAAAGAGCACCAAAAATTACAGAGGTAAAACACCACCACTGCTGCTCTGAGGGAAAAAATGTCTTCTCTGAGATTTATGAAAATACCAAAAAACAATTAGAGGGAGAAAGAGAAAAAGGAAATCTGCAACTGAAATAAGTGAAGAGTAATATATATTACCAGCTTGGTTTGAACTCCTTTTGAAAGGAATTAGGCAAGGCTGCAAGAATCGAAAACGTTTAGCAGTGTCTTCAGATCTAACAATTACTTTTTTACAACTTGAAGATCACAGAGAGGAAAAAAAAAGCTCCTAAATTTTGGAATATACTTACTGCAGCTAGCAAATATGGGATTTATATGCACTAAAACCCGCCTAGATGCCAAACTGAATATCTATGCTAAACAGAACAGTACAGAATGACATTAAAGCTATAACTCTCCCGCTTACCACCCTGTTTCCCACCAGTAAGCACTGAGCTAGTCAGTCACTGTGAATCCAAGGAGTTTTCTCATGTATTTGAACTCAGGCCTAAGAATCTCGCTCAGGTAAGTAACAGTTGCAAGGTACAAGTTAAACAGCTTTAGCACAGACAGAATATTGAAAAGATTCACTACATCAGCCCATTCTTGTATTTATCAGAAGTAAAATCTGACTGGATTTTTAAGAGTCTGAAGAACTGTCACAGGAGCGGTAGCATTTACCTAGGATCTTCATTTGGTAATCTCCACTAAAGCTCAGGAAAATATTTCTGACATGGCAAACGTGGCAAATTACTGTGTGTGCTTCATGACGTAACAGGATCTGTAGCCCTAATAACAATTTAATGGAAATATCTTTAAAAACAATAAATAATCAAAACCAGAAACATGACAGCACTTAGAGTATAAATTCACAAACCAGCTTAAAATTAGCCAGCTCAGAGGGCTACATCCCTATTTTGAAGTGCCGGGCAGTGATATCCAAAGATACCAACCAAATGGAGTACATAAACACCTGCTTAACTTTAAATCCCCTAAATTAAAAAGTATGCACCTGAATTCTAGTATAGTTTTTTCAAGCACTAGTAGCACATGAATGGTTTTCTGTGTTTACATACAAAGAGCACACAGCAGCAGAACACTGTTTGCTCAGAGATACATATGTCTGAGGAACTACTTTCACCACACTGCCCCTTGAAGCATGAGCTTTCAGCTGATAGTTTAGCCACAGAAGCTCAAGCTAAGTTGTTTGAAAGCATAACATCCAGTTCCCTGGCAATGCCTCCTTTCCCATGCTCCCTTTTAAGAACTTGAAATGAAAGGAACGACTCCTCATGTCATTACTCTGTCCCATCAGCTGATTTATTTATATTTTAATTCACATCAGAAGGACTAAAATTAAGACTATGCAAACAGAATAAACCATTCAAATTGTTTTAGCATCTGGGCACCTTTGAGAGCAACTGATTGATTTATCACCACAGCAACACGAAAAGGCCTTGATAACTTGAACTGTTAAGACAGCATGAGGTTTTTAAGTCTTGTATTTCTACAAAATATAACAAAGTTAATGCAACATCCTAGACAAAATGGAGGGCACAGAGGACAAAGTAAGGTAGAGCTCACATTTCTTGCTTTTCATCCTGACCTCACATTGACATTCAGACTGTGTATCTTCTCTGCATCACAGTCTGTTGTGTAGTGGAAGGACAGAAGCTACAAAGGGGTGCTCTTGCCAGCTGAGCACCAAAAGCATGCTTGGCCGAGTGCAGAAAACAACAAGCCTCGTGCGTTGTTCTCCAATAAAAAAAGAGAAGTTCCCCTGTTCCCAAACGTGTATTTACAGAAGAGCAGTGAACCCCCTCTGTACTCTACCAGCCTTCAATGCAACACAGAATAATGGCCAAAGCACCTAGCAAGGACTTCATCTTCCTCCTGCAGGTGCTATAGCTTCACCAAACAGGTTCCTTCATGCTTCTTATGCCAGGGATGTTACTCCCGGGCTGCTACAGATAAGATGTTTGCTTGACCAAAGCCTTTTCTGCTTATTTTGCGGATATCACGTTACTCAGCCGAGTGCACTCCAGCTGAATGACTGGGGTAGGGATTCTGCCAAGTACACAAGATGCACAAGAGTTGGCAATTACCTAGATATCACTAAGGAATTGCTTTCTGATGAAGTGTTTTGAGCTCCCAAGAAAAAACACAGAGGAAAAAAAATAGCCTTTTGTTCCTCCAATCCTGGTGACATCTAATCACTGACACTTCAAAAAATCATTAAGCTTTGCTGCTACCACTTCTGGCACGATTCTTTGCTGCTTACAGTAAAATTACATTAAGCAAATACAGTACATTATTTAAAGCCACTAAACAGTTCATTTCTGAGACAAAATAACATCATTAGTCAAATATTATACAATTCACATTAAAGGCATTTTTTCCCCACTCAGGCTTCCCAGCTTCTTGTGTCCTGAAGGCCATTGATCTAATTCCACTGTGTTTTACAATATAATTATTTTTAGTTATTTGTAACTGTTTAACATCTTACTACTATTAATATGTATTTTATCTGTTTTGGATTACACATTGCTTCCTTATGTAGTTTTAGAAAGCACTGTTTTTTCTAAACATACTCTATCCCAGGCCCTGAAGGCAGCAGCTTCTCTTTACAAGACCTCAATGGCTGGCCAGGGTTCAGCCCTCTGTGATATTCACAATTTTGGGACATAGAAGCCAAAACTATTGTGGTATAAGCATACAAATAAGAGCACCAATGTTACTTCTAGTAGAGGTAATTATGAATACCAATAGTTACAATTCACCTGTGCAGATCAGTCCATACATGGACTCTGCACTCAAGTGAATGGAATTCAACATGTGCCAAAGGCTTCCTCTTGCTTGATGTTTACATTGGAGAGAGATCACACGGGGATATTTAGATGCTGGAATTGGGGTCTGTTTTGCTTCCATTAAACCTGGATATAGGGAAAAAGATCTACATGTAGAAAGCACAGAGTGAAACGAGAGAAGTGCTGCACTGGTGCTGATGTTTCACAATGAGATTTTCTTGAAGCCATATCCTCGCTCCAGGTAAAGAAGAAAACAGCATGTTCACTGCAAATCAGGATAGACGCTGCCAGCTAGTAGAGGGCCATGTCTAACAACATGCAAAAGTTTTCCTGAAAGATGTTTCTGTTGCATTTCCAATATACTTGTAAGAAATTTCAGTTTAAAGATACTAATGAAATGATGCTGTTTCATGTGAAGAAGTTTCAATACATTTAAACTGTTTAAGTACAAACTTGTTTCTGGAACAAGAGTTCCAGAGCCGAAAGTCATATTTTTAGACAGGAAAACTGGAAGAGTAGCAGAGGTTGCAGCATGTTTCTGAGACTTCTGAAGGAGTAAGACAAGCATGATTTAAGTCTATGTACTTAGGAGATATCACTAGCAAGGTTGTAAAGAAAAAAAAATTTTAAACCCAAGCCCACCAGAAAGCACATTAATATACTTGCTAACACCAGTAAGGCATTAGGAAGGAAAAAAAAAAAAAAAAATCTCGGAGGTGGCATCATTCAGCTCTCAAGCACATGCTAAACACATACAGGAGTTTCCTTACTTTGAATTCATAAGGCATTATGAAACTCTGAAACTGCTGATAGTGGAGGAACAAGCCAATCAAACAACAGTGCAGGCTTGCCTTTTAGTGGAGAGAAGGCAAAAACGTACTATGCTGTTTGAACTAACCACAAAAATTATTCTGGATTTCAGCATAATATTTTACAGCCCATCGCCTTTCCAATCCCTTAGCATTCCAAGAGCCATATGACTGAAACACTAAAACAATTAGATGCTAACAGTGTTTCAAACATTTAAGTCATTGTGATAATACCTAGATGATAGGCAATATACTGTCTTACATTTTTAAGTACAGGTAGACTAGGATGAAATGGGTTTATCACCAGATTGAAAAAGACACCACAGTCAGATACAGACTTAAGCCATAGTTCTGTACCAAGATCACATCCCATCTAATCGAATCTAATCCACTAGGGATGTTTGGGGTTTTTTGGGGGGTTTGGGTTTGGTGTTTTTTTTTTTTTTTTTTTGGGGGGTGGGGGGAAGATGTTTTCATTTTCTTACAGTAACAGGCGTGCAAGCTAGGACTTTATAGACAAGTTTAAAGATAAATTTGTATATACACAGCGAAACAGAAAACTAAACAAGAATGGCAGGGACCAATAATGATCTCCTATTATCCACTGTCATGTTTTTAATCACCTTCCACACTTTAAAATTCACAGACCCCAAGTTTGTGTTGTGATAAAGCATCACCATTATGTTTTCTTTCTTTTCATGAAAGAAGTTCTTTTCATTCTCCAAGGACTCAATTGTTAAGAAACAACCATCCTGCCTGGTATTGCAAGACAAATGTTACTACGCATGCTGTGGTTATGATTTTCGTCTAATGCAAGATATCAAATTACTGTCCATTTAATTAAATAGAATTTCCTTGGAAGACCACTACCACACTTTTGAAGATGCCATCATATTTCATATCACAGCAGTAAAATAGTCGCTGAAAAATACTGTAATCTCTCGGATGAGCAGAGCATTTAGGAATAATGATCTTTCTAAAAATCAACTACTGACTAAGAAAACTGTGCAAGAAAGAAAGGAATCTCCTTATTAAGCCTGTTAAAAAGTCAATTTCTCGGAGTATAAATGCCCATTCCTCCCATACACCTCATTATCAAAAGCCTTGGAAAAAAAGGTAGGCTAATGAAGAAAAGAAGCAGCCTAGCCTCAGGTCAATCTCTGCTTTTGGAAAAGCCAATGTAACCCCCGATGAAAGAGAAAGGAGGCGTCTATGCACATCCACAAGAAAGAATCACGCCCAATGTTTAGACTGCACTTGTAAAAGATCATGTTATTTGAATAACTCACTGTTTAGACACATCAGGCATTATTGTCTGTTCCTTTTTCCTTGTATCCACTGTTGGCTCTACAGGGGTAAGTACTACGGCAGCACATGAGACTATCGACTGGTATGAGTCTTCCCGGCAAACTGCAAAGACAAAAAAAATCTCACTGTTAAAAGAGCGAACTCGGTTTGTATTTTAAACGTTTAAAATAAAATAATAAAACAAAAAACCAATCAAGTCATACTGTTATAAATAAAAATGCAAATGATTAATCAGACTTCACTGTGGTCACCTGCAATGAAAATGTCATTGTTTTTCACATTTCCTAAAGTGCTTGCTTGGCACTTTTTTACCATAGACTGATACTCCCATCAACTAAGTTTCACCTAAGCACAAGATCTGACGTCAGTCTACTCTAGCTCATTGGTGTGCCTGAGTTCTAAAAGGACTTATATTTCCATAAATGACATCAGAATATGATGCACTTCCTTTTTCTTTTTCATCACAAACTGAAAATAAGAGTGGAAATTATGGATTGTTTTCAGGCAAAAATTTCAGACTTTCTCAAATCTATTTTCTTACAAAGTCTGATTAGTGATTTTTTTTGTCTTCAACTGTTACATCTCACTTTAATCCAAGAAGGCCAAATCCAAATTGTCCAGGAGTGATATCTGATATATTGATTCCTGCTTTCTGTTATGTATCACTGTGCTGGATGATATGATTTAGACAATACTTAGAGATAAAAGAATGATCATGTATTTCAGCTGAGCATCTGGCTCAATTAGCACTAATAAATGAATACCCCAAAGTTCCTGACCTCCAAACAGACAACTACATTTGTTAAGTTACACATATTCTAAATTCTAAATTGCAAGTGTCACTAGTAATTTAGCACTTAGCAGTCACCACTCCTACTGATTTTGAAGGTATAGATTTCCTTTACAGCCAAGGTCTACCTTTATGAGTCAAATAAAAGCTGAAATTAAGAGTTGGTTGTATTGAACAAAGCACAGAAGCTTCTTATATTATACATTTATGGTACTATTATATATCATATATAAACAAGAAGAAATGTGGTGACCTATCTTTTAAGCAGAAAATGACACAGTATTTTGTATGTATAACATACAGAACTATTTTATAGAGTGTACACGTGCCAATAACATAGCCTGTGAAACAAGGATGACCACTACAAATTCTCAGCAATTCAAAGCCAGAAAGAACCTATTTTACAAGTACATACATTCATGCAAGATTGTGACATCTCGGAACATTGAACTGTGACATTTATCAACAGAAAACTTGTTTCTGAAGACTTAGGCACCATCCTCCACAATCACCTGCCTCCTCCTTATTGCCCACAGACAATGTACCTTTTGCATAGCCTATGCTTCTCTTCCAAGATGAGTAAAACTGGAGTAAAACTTCATCCATATTGCCTTGACTGGGTCAAGAACAATTAACTGCGGTGTTTTACCCTGAGCACTCAAATTACATACAGCACAAATTCAGCAGACAGAGACAAGATACACTGCACGCCCGACAAACACCCTGAAGCTATAACTGGTGCTTTAAGGCAGCTGGAGAGCAGATTTTAAGCAACAGGTCAGAACAGGGTTGAGTATTTCTACAAAGGTCAGAAAAGCACAAAGGTCTTTGTTTCCAGAGCAATATTGAGCCATTCAGCAGGCAGCACAAATGGCCAGAGCACAGGCAAATTCTGGCAGGGAGAAAATCTTTTTGTGAAGCACATGTAATTACATTTAATTGGCGTGCTCTTGATGTTCTCCAGCACTGTTTATGCTTGTATTTTTAAACATGAATGTGTACATTGTGCTAAGTGACTAAGACACATAAGATGACCAAGACTGAAACCTTACTTGAATTTTTCTTTGGAACCAGCACTACTCAAAACTTTGTCGCTCTAATAGACATCCATTTCCAAAACCCAAAGAGAACTCCCTATATTGCCTACAGGTATGCAAGTAGGATATACATTTTAGCTTCATGCATAAGAAGTTAAGGAGGGAACTAATGCAAGATACATTGAACTAGAGAGACCACATAAGCAAAAAAGAATCTTAGGTTATTTTTATCCTACTATGTTACATGCAACCAGCAGACCATCTACTAGCAAGGTGCTATTTGGTAGGCACCAAGTCATGTACAAAATCGTATCTTCTCATTGCAACCAGTGACTGAACATTATGCAAAGAAGAACACTTATGTCTGTTTGACTCTTGATTTACAGCATTGTAAAAAGATAGGCTTGTCAAAGGGCAACACTGATACTCACTACCTGAATTTTAACCTGAAATGCTAATAAAAAAGGGGGAGTAAAGGATGAAGCAAATACATATTTCTCTTTAAAAGAACCTGTGGTACCACTTGAATATCTAGTTATTACTTTAGAACCTGTAAAACATCTGGTGACTATGAAAGCGTCACGGAGTAGGATTTTCCCTGGATCAGCCACTGTCTATCAGGGCAGTTACAGAGAAAGATAAAATAGGAAATAGCAAGTAAGAAAGAGACACTGCCAGTCTCCTACCGTTTACAAAAAATTCACAAATGCATAAAACTGTGAAATTGCTTTTCTTTAATAATTAATAGTATATAAGAGTTGTATAATCCTGTAATTTACAGCTCAAGACAAATCCAGTGGTCATCTGGAGATCTGAGCTCATGGAATTTATTATCCTCCCATTCTAGACAGTGATATGCTTTGGTCTGGCTTTTGAAAGCCACTGCAATTCCTCCTTTTTATCGCAAGTCTCTGTGCACACAGTCATAAGTCATTATGGGACAGTATAATTAACTAAAATGTCATGAAATAGCGACAGCACAGCAGCAAGTAATTTTCACCTACTAGAGTGTATTCTCTTATTATCGGTTCATAACTTGCATTAAAATAATGAGAATGTGCTTGAATGTAGACTCTCAACTTCAACATTGATGGGGATGGGCACTGTTTGACTTAAGGAGACTGTTTTCATTTTACACTTCAAAGTTCTCTTAAGCATAGCTTCTTCTCTACCCCTTCATTTTTTATGTACAAGTGGCTTACATTACCCTCAAAAATCCCATTAGTGATGTCCACATATCGTAGGCTTCATGAATCCAAACCTCTTAGATCCTCAAAATACTATGAACCTCAGAATACCAAAGGATAATACTAAGGGATTACACCCCTTTTAGCCATAAATCCTCTCACGTGTCCAAGTTGCACTTTAACAGCCAACAAGAACTTTACAAATTCACTCTCTGCTCATCCAGCCCATACATCAATAGTTTGTCTATGAAGATCTTACAGGAGACAGTGTTGAAAGCCTTACTGAAGTCATGATACACAATATCCGCTGCTCCAAGAAAGAAAACAATAAAGAAACTTTTCCCATGTATCTGCTACACTTTCACAATGGTACACAAACGTAAAGTACATGCTGTAGGTAGAGGTTCATTATCACAGTTGCTATTGTATACCTCCAGAACTGTAGAAAAAACTGTGCAAGGAATCAACATCAAGGGAACAGCTAATTTTATACTACCTCTGGCAATTTCCTTAAGTTTAATAGACTAATATTTAGTATCTTAGAATGTGTTATAGACCGCATACCTTCTGAAAAAATAAGTAATTTGCATGTGAGATGGTATTTTTCAGTACCATTGCATCTCCTTTATTCACAATTCAACCATTACATGAACCAGCTAATAATTGTAGTGAAAAAAACACAACTGGAGGAACTTCTTTACTATGCATTATCATTAAAGAAACATTTTTCTGAGTGAAATAAAAGACACCACGTACCAACTACGTGTCATATAAAGAACAACTCTACAGAAAGAGAAAACAAACATTCTGACTTCATGTAATACTATTATAAAAGATCTGTACTGCTTTTGAAGTTGCATAATTTCTCCCCAGATTCTTCAATTTATACTTTAATGATGCATACAGTTTGTTTTCTTCCATTGCCAAGTGTTTTAAAAGTACCCCATATATTTATCACCAGGAGTGCTGGCTTGGATTTACCCTCGTTGGTTTAAGCAGTTCCAGAACATCATTCACTATCAAAACAGAGCTCCACGTCTGGAGAAGAAAAACATTAGCTGTTTTTTTTTCCCTTTGCTGTTTCTTTCAAGAATAAGGATGACTAATTAAACAGGTTTCTTCTACTTTGAACCAACAACTGAAAAATTTTTAATTCCCTAAATAGTAGGACAGTAGGAAGCCTTCAACAGCTATTGAATATAATGTAACTCTCTAGAGAATAAAAAGATTTTTAAGTTCTAGAGGTGTCATTTACAGGGTCTATTTCAAACACTGTTAATTGTACACGTTCGTTTTCACTTTTTTTTTTTTCTAATAGAGGAGAGAGAAAATCTGGTTATCACAACTCACTAACAAAAAAACCCAAACTCTCCCTTAACACAAGATGCAAGCGATGGTTAGATTAAATTAGCAGCAAGTGCTACCTGCTTAGAGAAAACAGAAGGGAAATGTTCATACGCAGTGTGCAATGAAGCATAAGGGATTCTTGACACAGGGAGACAAAAACAGTGAAGTATTTCTGGATTTAAAAAATCTGAGCACTTATTCTGACAATTCAAAGTATTTACACTTCTGCCTGGAGAGTTTAAAATAATCAGCTCTCATCATTCAAGAGACAGATCAAGTCTGGAAACAACTGCTGTTTTATACCAAAAAACCTTCTGCTTTGGTAAAAAACTAGGCAACCAGCCAGGAGCATGGAAGGTGCTAAGTACTTTCCCCGGAAATATCCCTCAACTGCCACTGTAGGACACAGGAGACTGAAACATGGGGGAGCAATGTCTGGATGTACATTCCTCCTACTACTGAAAGCCAGAAGGTATGTTTGAATTACTCCAGAACACCAATTCTCAGTGCGGGCATTTACATTTTGGCACACTGTTTCCTAGCTGCGGCTCTGCCATGGGGAGGCTCAGGAAATGAGCCACCGCCTGAGGCGCTCTGAACAAAGGATAAGGAAGAGCTGCAAGACAGGCAACCCATAGACAGGTTCTTCAAATAAGGCAAACACTGGAGGATGAAGAACTGTTACATGTGAGACAGAGGTTTTGTTAAAAAAAGGCAACACAAAAAACAACCAACCAAAAA